ACTGACTGAAACAATATTATAAGCTTTGTTTAAATTACATGTGCGAGGTAGAATAACCAGTATGTTGGTACTGATAAACTGGTAGGCTAGAAACTATCCCTTACTTTCACCCCCTTCCAATATCACCTCATTAATACAGTCCCTCTCCTCTGCCTGGTTCCCTGTTGTTTGTCACAGGGCTTGAACTTCATTATCTTCTGTAGACCTCCACCTGTAAGTCAGATTTGACTGCACCTGACCAACAGGTTGAGAACTGTTAGAAAAAGAACAGCAGAGGACTGGGCATTGAGGCAGACATCAGAGTTACACAGCATTGTGTCAGGAGGAAGGTAAGCCAGGATTCCTAGATTCAAAGTAGCTGATGTATTTGCAGGGTCTAGTTAGGTCTTCTATCTTGTAAAAATGTAAATATGGTGGTGGGGTTAATTTTAAATGTAGATTTAAAAGTAAATGCAAAAAGTCAATATGTTAAATGGGCCCATTTAGCTTAATAGATGTATATCTTGTAATTGTTTTCCAGATATCACCATGTAAAGCACACAGTTTATGTTGTGCAAATACACTCTAAATGTGTTTTTATTGCTGTACTGTTTCATCTCTTTTTGTTTGGGATATTTTTTAATTTCTTTCAATGTAACAAAGTATTAATAAACAATTTTAACAATTTCTACCAGCAGCTTTTACTCTGGCTTGTCAAATTTTGTGTTTTCAATATGAGAGTCAAGAATTTGGCTCTTATGTTGTTTTCACTTGTAACAGGAATTGCAATTAACACATTTGCATCCTATCACTATGGCATCTTGCCTGCTGTAGCTGTGGCTGGCATGTAGGTTCCCAAGGCTGGAGGCAAGCTATAGGACTTATCACGTCTGTACTTGGGAAGTCTGAACTGGAAGACATAGCCCCACACACCTACTTTCATGTTAGCTGAGAGGTTGGGTTTTATTGTGAAACTGTGGCTATACAGTAGCTGTTGCAGGTGTAAGTATTAAGTTATACATCAGTGTAGTGTAACTAAATGTAGTCAGTATCTGCAGTACAATTTCCCTGAAAACTATGCAGTAAAATAGTACTTGAAAAAATATCGGGTATTTAATTGAACTTTGAGGGTATGCTTTTCTACAGGACGAAGCATCCTTTGTGCACATGTAGATCTTTCAGCACAAGATCTAAACATAGCACGTAAGTATAAGTGCTTGCAACTTTACAGGGAATGCACCCATAGATCCATGGGACATTTCTAGCGAGCTGCAAGGAAATGTCCTATGAAAATGAAATTGGCTCAAGCGTTGGAACAAGAGGATGGACTTGTTATCAGTATAAACTTCTGGTATTCAGACCAGTTGTGTTTTCAAGTTTTCCTCTGCAGCAATGAGCATAAGAAAATGACCTTAAAATATACTTTTATTTTTTATTTATTTGTAAGTAGCCTTGCAAAATGTTGGGGCTGATGTAGCACAGCAACATGATTGTGATGACTTAGACAAGTGGCTGGGAAAGTAGCTCGCTTTATGGAAGACACTCAAGAGATTTTGATTGTTGCGAAATCTTGGTAGCATGCTGGAGTGGAGGGGAGAACGGGAGGGGCATGTACATGTCTAAGAGGCAGACAGAGAGGATCCTCTGGATATGGAGAGTGCCTGAAAGAAGACTGGCTGCCCCTAGGAGCATAAGATGCACAAGGGAGACATAGGTAAAGTTACCAACTTAGAGTTTGTCACAATACTGTGCTTTTCTAAGCTTCAGAAATTGGATGAAAATGTTTAACCTTCAGTGTTGTCGTGGCTTTGATAAAATGGTATATTTTCTTCCTATTAGCTAGTGCAGTGCTGTGTTTTGGCTTTAGTGGGAGAACAGTGCTGATAACACACAGATGTTTTAGTTGTTGCTAAGTAATGCTTACTCTGATCAAGGACTTCTCGGTCTCTCATGCTGTGCCAGTGAGGAGGGGCATAAGAAGCCGGGAAGAAGCAGCGACAGGACAACTGACACAAACCAGCCATAGGAGTATTCCATACCACAGCACTTCATGCCCAGTGTATAAAGAGTGGGAGCTGGTCAGAAGGCACAGATTGCTTCCACGGGACAAGCTTGGAAGCTGGGCACCAATCAGTGAGTGATGAGCAATTATGCTGTACATAATTTTTTTTTCTTTTCAGGGGGGAAGGGTTTATTCCTTTCTTTCTCTCCCTCTTTTTTTTTTTATTGTTAGTATTGTTATTGTTGTTATATTTCAGTTATTACATTGTTCTTATCTCAACCCACAGGTTTTTACCTTTTTTTCTAATTCTCCTGCTTATCCCACTGGAGACTGGCAGGGAGTGAGCAAGTGGCTGCATAGTACTTAGTTGCTGGCTGGTCTTAAACCATGGTAGTTGTTTAATGAAAAAGTACTTATTGGTTGCAGTCAAGGAGGTAAGATTATGGTGCAAGTAGAGATTATGTTGTGGCTTAAGCCCAGCCGGTAACTCAGAACCATGCAGCCGCTCGCTCACTCCACCCTACTTCTTCCTCCCCCCCGCTCCTGGAGGGATGGGGAGGAGAATCGAAAGAATGTAACTTACACAGGTTGAGGTAAGAACAGTCCAGTAACTAAGGTATAACACAAACCACTACTGCTACCACCAGTAATAATAATGGTGTCCTGGGTTTAGCAGTAGCAGTTATTTTTCTCCTTCTTGATAGCTGATGCAGTGCTGCGTTTTGACTGGTAACAATGATGTTTTGGTTTGGCCGAGGTTTGTGAGCCTCATGCTCTGCCAGGGAGGAGGGGAAGCCGGGAGGAAGCAGAGACAGGACACCTGACCCAAACTGAGTATTCCATACCACAGCATGTCATGCCCAGGATGTAACTGGGAGTTACCCAGAAGGGCTGGGGGACTGCAGGGATGGAGGAGACAACAGTCGGTGCTTGGTTGGGCTGGGGGGGCGAGTTGTCGGTCAGCTGGTGCTGAGGTGTTGTATTCTCTTCCCTTGTTATTTCCCTTATAATTATTATTACTGGTGGTAGCAGCAGTGATTTCTGTTATACCTTAGTTACTAAACTGGTCTTATCTCAACCCATGGGAGTTGCATTCTTTTTGATTCTCCTCTCCGTCCCTCCAGAAGTAGGGGGAAGAAGGGGGGGGGGGGGGGGGGGGGGGGTCGTGAGTGAACGAGCTGTCTAGCTGGGGTTAAACCATGACACAAGGGAAGAGAATACAACTGTTCACCACCCACCGACAGATACCCACCCTACCCGAGCAGAGATCTAGCCCTTCTGGGTAACTGCCCCCAGTTTATATATTGGGCATGATGTGCTGTGGCATGGAATACCCCTTTGGCTAGTTTGGTCAGGTGTCCTGTCTCTGATTCCTCCCAGCTTCCCTTCCTCCCTGGCAGAGCATGAGACTGAGGAAGTCGTTGGTCAGAGTAAAAATTACTGAGCAACAACAAAAAACACTGGTGTTATCAGTGCTGTTCCCAGGCTGAAAGTCAAAACCACAGCATTGCACCAGCTACTGAGAAGGAGAAAAATGACTGCTACTGCTGAACCCAGGACAGGTTACCAATGTAACTTGTTGGGTACTCATACCTGAATGTTCAGTTGTCTTCTTGCCACAAAAGCTGGCTACACGAGTAATAGAATCATAGAACTGCAATATGGTTTGAGTTGGAAGGGATCTTTAAAAATTAACTAGGACACCCTCCATTAGATCTGGTTGCTCAAAGCTCTGTCCAACCTAACCTTTGAACACTTGCAGTGATGGGGCACCCACAACTTCCTTCGGCAACCTTATCACCATAAAAACTACCCTCACCATAAAAATGCTTTCCTTATATCAATCTTAAGCTACCTTAAAACCATTGCCCCTTGTTCTGTCACTACAGACTCTGGCACAAAGTCTGTCTCCATCCTTCTTATAAGCCCCTTTAAGTACTGAAAGGCCACAATAAGGTCTCCCCAAAGCCTTCTGTTCTCCAGGCTGAACAAGCCCTACTCTTTCAGACTGTCTACATAGGACTCCATCCCTCTGATCATCTTTGTGGCCTCCTCTAGACCATCTCCAACAGGTCCATGTCTTTCCTATACTGAGGACCCCAGAGCTGGACACAGTACTCCAGGTGAGGTGCCATGAGAGCAGAGTAGATAGGGCGAATCACCTCCCTTGACCTACTGCCCACACCTCTTGTGATGCAGGCCAAGACACGATCAGCTTTCTGGACTGCAACGCACATTTCCAGATCATGTCCAATTTTTCATGCACCAGTACCCAAATCCTCCTCAGGGCTGCTTTCAATCCATTCACCCCCAGAGAAGTCCAGGAGGGCCCTGGCTTTTTGTTGCCTACTCATGATGAAATCCAGGGTGCTGTACTTTCGGTGCCTTGCCCTTAGCCTCATTTTTCATTTCTATGATTTTTGACACATACGTCTGACACCCCCTGTGAAGCTGCTGCAGCTCTCTGCTGCTGCTGGCACGGGGCGGTGTTGGGGGTGTGGGGAGAGGAGCCCAGCCTCGCTAACCCTGCGGGGCCCAGAAGGGAGGGCGCCTGTGAGAGGCCCATTTAGTGCCAGTGTGTCAGAGAGACAGGCACTGTTGAAGAGGGAAGAGAGCTCCGTAGAGGCGGTGAGTGCTGCCCGAGGGCTGGTGGCCTTTCCCACTTGTGTCTGAGGGAGGTGGTGGTGGGTGTGGAGAAAGGGTTCATCTGAGCATGAACCCGTCCCCAGAGGAATCACTGGGGGAGGCCGTGCCCGGAAACGAAGCCTGCTTGCCTGCGCCTGCTGCGGAGAGGCGCCGGCAGCAGGCAGGCCGAGGCGTTCCCCTGGGTGCGATCCCGGGGTAGGCGGCGTGCGCGGGCCAGAGGCTGGGTGGGGCTGGGCGGCCATTTCACTGCCGGCTCCATCACACCCGCGGCCACAGGCCGCAGCCCACACCGACCGTCGTTGCTAGGGTGATCGGGCAGTGGCGCCCACGCCCGCCGGGCCCCGCCCCCCCGCGCTCCTCCCTGCCAATCGGAGAGGCGGTGGCGGCGGAGCGAGGTTCCCTTTGTTCAGCCATTTCAGGGGCCGGAGCGGGTGTGGAGCTGCGGCGGGAGAGGACGGGCCGCGTTGTGCCTTGGCTCGCCACTCCCCTGCCGTCGCGCTCTGGTGATGGTGTGGGTAGGTGTCCGGGCTGAGAGGGGCGGGCTGGGACGTCCCATCTCCGGCAGCCGCCGCCCCGTGAGCGGGATACAGGGGCCGCAGCAGCCGCCGGGGCCTCCATCGACGCGGGTCCGGCCGGCGCCAGGGGCCTCTGCGCTGGCTGTGGAGCTATGGCGTCCGGCCGCGGGGTGACTCGGCCCCTCCGGCCGTTGCCGTGGCCTCTGTTGCCTCGTGTCGGTGCATGGATGAATTGATGGACGGGTGGGTGGGTGAATAGATGATTGGTGGCCAGGACGGGGGTGGCCGCGGCCTGAGGGGCGGCCGGGACCTGAGGGCTGGGCAAACTCTTAATACTCTGCCCCGGCTCGTCCATTGCTACGGCTGATGCCTTCTACGCAGCAGGGCTGTAAGCTCGGGGGTTGCAGCGAGCCGGAAAGTGAAAGTCGCCTCGGGATATAGGAACGTGGCCGTATTTCCTGCCTTGTTTGCTGGAGTGCGTGGGTTTCTGCTGTTCGGCTAGGTGGGATTTTATTTTTTTCCTCTACGAAATAGTAGAAGAGAAATCTCGTGTTTGTCGTGTACCGTTGTTTGTTTGCTTAGGGAAGTTGTTGAGTTAGACGCCTAGTGGTAATAGCCACTGGAAATTGTACAGCTTTTGCGGGGTGACTGTACAAAGGGCAGGAATGCTGCTTGGGATGAAATAAATGGCTTGATTAGTCTGTGAGATTTCCATCTCCTTTCTGTGAAGATAATTCCTTTCACTTTAACTGCTCCTCAGGACCTGAGAGAGCCTCCTTCTGTGAGGGCTGTTCTGCAACGTATCCTGGCCACCACAGCATCATAACTTGTTTGCTTGCCTTCTTGCATACTTAAGTAGTCTTTAGTGTATACCTCATAGATGCTGTTCAATCCTTGTACCACTCGTTGAACATGTTCCCTCTGTACATGAGTAACTGAACAGAAAAAATAATCACATGCCCAAGATCATATAAGAAGCCTTTGGTAGAATTGGAAACTGAGCCCAGAGCTTCTCATTCTGCATCTGCTGTGTGAACTGTAGTTATTTTTGAGTTACACGTGGGAGGATGGAGGAAAGGTGCCTACAATTGGGGAGAATAGTTTCTATATGATCAGAATTACTTTAGAATGCTTTTCTTCGAAGTCTAGCTAGCTTCTGCTCAGAGCAGTGTAATATAAAAGGATAATTATGATCCTGCAAAGACAAGATTAAGAAGGCAGTTTATTGACTTTTAAAAGAGGGAAGCTCTGGTTAGACTGAATATTGACTAAGGACCATGTTTATGGTTGGATACAGGGTCATCTTGTATATACTGCATTTGTCAAAAAAGGTCCCACCCAATAATTCTTACAATCCCTTCCAACTTAATACTAACAGTATTCTATTACTATGCTTATATAAATGTATCTTTTTATGTATTTATAGACATTATGCATAAAAAGATAGATAGGTATAAGACATGATTCGTACAGAAGTGTTTGTTGGGTTTTTTAAATATTGATACCTATTTGTGTAGACTCAGTGTTTTTTGGTTTAGGTATGTGAGCATCATATATATGATAAAACAGTGCACATAATCATAGAATCATAGCGCTGGAAAGGACTTTTAAGATCATCTGGTTCCAACCCCCCTGCCCATGGGCAGGGACTCCTCCCACATAATAATCTTTTTATGCATGTACACAGGGATGCCATGGAATATGGCATCTTTCAGTACTACATTATGAAATAAACTTTCAAATGTCACTTTTAGCCTCTAGGAGGTTTTCTTTTCCAAACCAGACTCCAGAGTAAAATTTAAAAGATACCCTGCTAATTTGGGGTGTACTGAGTGCTTCTGAAATTTGGGTTTGTATATACGTGTGCGAGTCAGATCTGAAGTAAGGCATAAAATCAAGTAAGATTTATGTTTAAATAAAACTTTCCTTTACTCTTACATTATTCTTCTATTAAATAATCTGGTTTTGTAGAGCATTTTCTGTAAGCCATTGTGAGATACCCTTAAACATTCAAAATGTGCTACTTATGTTGAGCCTGCTGTTATGTGCATTAATTTAAGAAATAGATCAATACTAAATATACAAACAAGAGGGAAAGGCAAGACAAAATGTTTTTGTCAGAGAGTAGAAAATAGATAATAGATGAATAGGTACAAAGATACAAGACAACTGTTACTATATTAGAACCCCAAGAGGGGACACTTACAAAAATGATGGTGAGGTAGCACAGACCGGGGGTTTCCAAACCTAAGTTAGTGCGTATATGATTATCTTCAGTAACTTCTGGCATCCAGTTCATGTGCTTTTCTAACCATACAAAGCCAGAGCCTCATCTATGGCTCTTCTCCTAGCTTTCCAACTGCATGTTCCTGTCTTCCAAGCTAGGATTATAGTCTAATAACCTTCCCTATCCACTCATGCACCCACAGAAGTTTAGTGCAATTTCAGACTTCAGCCACATCCTTTCTCTTGCACACTCAAATGATGTGTCTTCATTCACAACAAAGTGGAAACTTAGCTTCCACTGTGAGCATGTTATCATCTTAATCCTGTTCTTCCTATTTCACCATTTCTTGGTCTTTTCCTGTATCCTGAACCAGACGTGCAAGTCTGCTTTGGGGCAGCACAGTTATTAATTATTGCTGAATGCATGTGGTGGCTGCAGTTGTTCTTAACTGTGTTCATGCAGGTTTTGCAGGACCTAGGAGGCAATTACTGGGCTGCCTGTGTGAAAACAGTGAGACCCATAAACTGTAGCTCAGTTCAGTATTGAACATACCATGGAAGCAGACATGAGTGATATGTGCATTGCAGTTTGGCCACCTCTTTTATAGAGAAACAAGGAAAGCCAGTTGCAGACAATAAATAACTATCCTTAATTATCTGCGGTCATACAAGTTGGGTTTGTACTATGATAGAAGTTTTGAAACTTGCCCTGTGAGTTACTGGTAATCTGAGTTGCTGTTTTCACAAATCAAACATGATAGTTAGAAATATTTGGTTCTAATGTGAAATTTTACAGGTAGGGATAACAGTAATAGAAAATAACATGTATATTTGTCATCCAGTTTTCAGTTTCAGACTTTTGAGCTCTGTAACATCCCCTACAGCATCTTCCATGAAGTTTACAAGCTATACCTCAGGTTCAGAGGAAATTCGACAAAGTGGTCAAGTAAAATGTAATGTTTTTGTTGCAGTTTAACCCTTGTGTCCTCCAGAAAATGATGTCAATTTAAGATAATAAAATTCATAACACTGTTGTAACAATATTGTTGATGAATTACTTCAGCCTTGCATCTAGGATGACCTGAATGAAGGGAAGCAAATGTATCTTTATACTTAAGTTTAGGTGTCTTGTCTACAGTTTTGGTAAGTGAGTATTAGAGAAAACTGATTATACAGATGTCCTTAATATAATAATGTTTATGTATTCATTAATGTATAATGTTAATTTAGTCAAAAACATGTTTGGGAATGAAATCTGCTTTTCTTGGTTAGACTTTTAAGTTCAACTTTGAAATCTTGAAAAGATTGGTCTTACCCATGCAGGGCAACAGTGTTTGTATTGCTATTCTGTGATGGTAAGACCAAGTTTTACAAAGTATTTTTTTTTTAATTGTATGTCAGACATTATTTTGAATCTACTACATTGTCAAATATTTAGTTTTGTTATTGAAGATAATTTGAAATAAAATTAAAAAAAAAAAGAACCTAGGAGGAAAAAATTGCCTGCTATCTCATGCAGAAAATAGCCAAAATATTTTTTTCAATTGAATGTAATATTTTATAGGTCATATTTGAGTTATATTAGTGACCAGAAGCTCCATATATGAATTAAGGCTCTAACACATTGGGTGAGTATAAACCAACAGTCCTTTCTGCGTATGGCTTCCAGCTGAATTGGAAAACAAAAGATGCATGTTTTACAATAGGCAGCTACAAGGAGAGAGACTTAAAACAACACTGCACCAAAGGAGAATTTCCACATAAATGTGAGAGAGAGCAAAAAGTACCATGTAGGGCCTTTTCCTTTTGCTTTTTTGGTTTTTGTTTTTAAAGACAGCCTATGGGAAAGCAAAGTGCAGGCTGGTAAATAGTCTCAAAGTGAAGATGCTAAAATCACCAGTAGGAAAAAAGCCCAGATTTTGCATTATGATAATATATAACAACTGATTGTAGGTCTGAGACATTGAGTTATTCTCTTTGTTTGTAGACATTTTAACCTGTGACAGTGGTTTCAACTCTTCATCATTTTATGTTTCATGTAGTGGTTACATATTAAGACAAACATGCATGTAGAATGCCAGCAAACTTATTTAGTGGAGTTAATGAAGCTATTGGCAGTAGGTTTTTATTAAAAGCATATTAAAATGGCCTTAAAGTTATTAAATTACCTGTGCATTTAAAGTAAATTGAATTATTTTCAATTACAATTTTTCCATTAAGTAAATTTCCTTTACCTTTGGGCTTGGGAAAAAGAAATCTTTAAAAACCTTGAAATATTTGGTTTGCATTGGCCGTGTTATTAGTAGCATTTTAAGGGAATTCTGTTACATATATAGGTATTTAGACTAACAACTAATCATTGCAGCTAATCTTTGAATCAAATACCATTCTGATATCCTTCACAAACCAACATTAAAGTATTTAAATGCATAAAATATTCAAAAGTTACAAATCAATTAAAAAATGGCAATATGGTTCTTCATCAGATTACATTCTTCCATGTTAAAATTATTGAAGTTTATCTGCTTTTTCTGACCTGAATGTACAATATATTTTAAATGTAAAGTTTTATTTCTAATGTTTCTCTTTTTTTTTTTTCCTTTTTTTTTGGCATGAAATACTGCTTTTAAACTAGAATGAGGTAAAATAATTGCTAAGGGGACTTGTAGTACTTCAAATGTCTATCGCTTTTGGCTAAGGCAGCATTAACTGCCCAAGATAGTTTACCAGATCATTCATCTACACAACAAAAATCTCTGTAAAAGCACTAATGAAGTCATTTCAGTACAGAAGCTCTAGCTTAGGTGCATTGCTTCATTGCTTGCATTCGGACTCGCAATTTCCTTTCAACTGGTTCAATATTCTTTCAAAGGTGCTCTTAGAGGTGTGAGAATGCTTTTCAAAAAACAAGGGTAGAAATGAGAGACAGCAGAATTATAGAAAAGAGAAAATAATTATACCACTATGTATTACTTTTTTAAATACATCCTATATTTCTGCATTTTTTTAAGCAATATAAGTCTACCTGGAATAATTCCATGATCTCTTAATACCTGTTGCTGGAAAGGATGATGAAGATCTGTGTACAACTACAGGCTTTCTTCTGCAATATCTATTAGTTTCAATCTGTAGCAACTTGAATGTCTTGTTTAATTGAAAGTCTAAAACTTCTCTTAAATCTCATCTTCATATGTTGCATGCAAGAGCATTTAGAATATGCTTAAACCGAAAAGGCTGAAGCAATCTTCCATTGAAACATCCATTTGTATTAGATATTCTGTGTGCATCTATTTAATGAAATGGTCTTCAGTGCTAAGATTATGCTCTTTTCCTTACCAGATTATCTAGTGAGGTTTATTATTCTGGTCAGATGACCAGGAATTTTCTAAAGCAAATGTGTAAAGTAATTTTTAACACTGTTTTAATTTCTAAAGGTACTTCTCTCTTTGTCTCACAGAATTCCTGCTGAGATAATGTTGAGGCACTTGAATCATACTGGTTTTTATATTAAACAGTAATACATTCAACTCGTATTTGCCATGTAAAAATGCTGATATTCAGAGGAGGCAAAAACACTGGGTTTTATGCATCTGCAGATTCCACTGTGTATGTATATGTAGGAGCAATCTGGGGGTAAGAAGCTGTGTATCATTTTGATTTTATCTCTGTCTTGAGACAGCCTAAACCATCAGTTACTGAAACTTAATTTTGATCAAAACCCTACATCAGACACCAGCTGCTTTGCCTCCTACAGCTAAGAAACCTTACCACAGTTGTAAATAGGAAGTTGAATAGGGTTCATAAGAACCTGACACTAATATTGCTTGAAAGATTTTTAAGATGGCAAAAAGCACATGTTGAATTATACATGAAATTTGACATATTTAAATAACACTCTGGACTCCTGGGAATCAGTCCTGACTTTGCACATGCACTCACCCCTGTACAGTAGATTTAGTCTGTTGCAGTAATGAGTACGGCTTGTTACCCAGGGTAGAGCATTCAGTTTTTACCTCCCAGTCTGTAGTTAATCTTCATTTCTTGTGCCTTTAAAAATCTCTTGTATGTTGGACAAATACAGAGGTTTGTATGCTTCATGTAGGAAAGCAAAGTACTTTTGGAGAAATTTGGAGAAAGAAGCTTGTGTCCTAGAGGAAGGAGGGAAGGAAAAAAAAACCAACCAAACACCAAACCACAACCCCAAACAAACAAAACAAACCAGGTGTGGGAGGTTTTAAGAGGTTTTACAGTTTGATACTTCAGGTGATAGATCTGGTATCTTCTGCCACAAATTCAGGAGGTGATTTTCTTGTGCAACTGCTCATTCAGTTTCAGATTGTTTTACAACTCCCAGCAGTAAGAACATGTACTGCGATTTTAGTATCTAGCATGTGTGATTACAGTTGGGCAAATCATTAGCAACAGAGTATTTTTCCACTTGGTATCTCTAGCTGTGGAAGTGAAGTAACAGCAAGTTTGAAGAGATGATGCATCTGAATGTATCCTTGTTCAGAAAATTAGTTGATCGAAGGCATTTTAAATTCAGAGATCTTTGCAGTTTTGCACTGTCTAGCATTTATTCAATCAGCTGGGCTTTTAATGAATTATAAGAATGCTGTTTTATCCAGTTAAAGTAGAATTCAAAGCACTCCTGATGTTTTCCAAATTGGTGAAAGCTTAACAGCTTTTTGCTTCTGCAGCTGACAATGTCATATATCTAACAACCCAACAACAGTAATAGACTTGGTTTTCAGTTTTGATTTACACATAAGCCTAAGTGTTGATGTTTGTAAACCTAATTTGCATTAAGCCTTTAGTAATTGTTCTACCAAACATCAAACATTAGTGCATGCTGTGGCCTGTCATCCATTTTATCTGTAGTGGTGTGGTGATTTTGTGCCTTTGTATATATGGAAACTATATTACTTTACTCTTTCCTCTATGATCAATGGATACATGAGGAGTAGAGGTATTCATTAAATAAGGAATGTACTTCTGTCAGAAGAGTGGAATTAGAGGCTGTCAGGTTATCATATGTACTATTTCATCTGCTCAATGGGATTCCACAGTGCAGGCTTTTACAGACATTATCTGCAAAAGGAAATAGCACTCACTAGGTTTGGGAGAAGAAACCATGAAATTGTGGGCAGTCATGCCACAACTCAGAGCCAGAAAAGCATTTCCTTTCTCAGAGACAACAGTGTTGCAGATTCCCAGATAAGGTACATTGTTACAACTGTAGGTACTCTCAGGAAAGGTCCATCACCAAGCTGGTGTTCAGTGGAGAGCAAATCACATTACACATTTATTTGCCTCCAATATTGAAGTGTCCAGTATTCTAGTATGGTACCTATTCATCCTAAGGAGGAATCTATCTTGGAGGATGATTGTCTAAAGCATTTTTATGTCCTCACTAACTATAGACACTCCTTTATATGCTCCTGATTTGTGGCCTTTTTTTCTCCACTGCGAAAGATATTTCCAGAATTTAATTCTGGTCACATTCCTGGAAAAGAAACCTTCTTTTTTTTTTTTTTTGTAGTTATGGATCCATGGCCTGATTTCTGCTTTTTTGTGTTCTGTCTCTCAACCTTCCTTTCTAGTCTCTTCCCTCATTTCTCATACTTAATGTTATTTTTGTCTAGTACAGTTGGTTTCCTGATAAAATCAGACAAATGTAATCCTTGTGTCATAATTTCTAATAACTTCTGAAGCTGTAATCGGTTTCAAACAAACTTGACAGTGGGCCAGAAGTCTCAAAGATGATAATCAAGTATATACAACCTTCCTGGTAGGGCAGGAGTTAGGGAAATGAGGCCCAAGTTAGAACTTACCTGACTTTTTGGACCTCAGCTTTCATCTCCAACTGTGCAGGCTTTGCTATGGAGAACTGTCCTCATGTGGTGTGAACCGCTAACATCAGTTTTAATGGCTTGGGTTGACATAACTAGCAGAGATTCACCCTGCTCACAAAAATGCTGTATAAACCTTGTGCCTGTCCTTTCCTAAAAACTGGTGGTGCACCTTTATGCACCTGTCTTACTGACTCTGCCTTGTAGCCAGTTCTGTGCAATAAGCTCTCAAGAGGTATGCGGCTCTAGTAATCTCCCAAACAGCCCTGTGATAACTTTGGCAATTGTTCAAATTGAAGAGTTTAAGAAACATTCTATTTTTTGCTTTTTTTAAATAACATTTTCCTCTTTTTTGGTTTTGCCTTGTGTGCTGTGTAGCATACTTCTCTACTATTTAGCCATTTCCTGCTTCTTATTCCAGTGTACATGCTTTCCTGACTCATCAAGTACCCTCTTTCACCGTTCTCTTATCCAGGTATGTAGATACTATAAGTATGCTGCCTGTCCTGTTGCCTGTGACAGTTCCTTTTGCCTTTTTTTTTTTTTTTTCTGGAGTCTCTGCAGTACTGATTTTGTCTTCTTCAGGAATACTGGCTCATAGTAATAGAAAGGAAGTTGGCTCAGGATGCTGCTCAGCACCTGAGACCAGACAGCTGACTGTCAGTGTTGGGTATATGACACAAATTGCCACACAGCGAATTACCTGGAATGCACCTTTTGGGAGACAGTAGTGTTTCCTGTCCTCAATGCCTCTGAGCAGCTGTTAAGGCTGTGATGTGCAGCAGTCATACTGAGTTCTGTACTGCAGCAGAAGCAGCAGAAAGTGAAACTAGTATGTATACTAGTATGAAATACAGTCAGGTGTTTACAAACAAGGTGGCTAAAAGTGGGATTGAAAAAGCCAAGGTATCACTATTTTCCATTTTCATATTTTAGACTGGTTTTAAGCAGCATGTGTTCATATTTTGTCCATTAGCATATGTAGACTAATTTTAAACAGCTACATATATAAAACGCAATGTATACGTGTTTAGATATACACGTCTGAAGTTTGACCTGAGATCTCCCCTGATATATATTAAAGCTAAGGATAAGGTACACTAGGTATTCAATGGCTGAGATTCCCTCCCCTGCCCCCCTTTTCTCTAGTTGAGTGGTTGGTCCTGTTCCCTCTTTAGAAGTGGAACTGGGAGCCTCTGAAATCTGCTCAGCACCCAGCCAAATCACGTACAAGAACAGCGGACAGCAACGCAAGTACCACTTTCCTGACTCCTGGGTCTGCTCTCGCACCCCCTCTTCTCCTTTGCTGGCGCAGTCTCCCCACTCGCTGCCAAGGCTCTGCGGCGAGCGACCGTGGCTGTTGCAGGGGCCCGGGCTGGGCCGCCGCTTCTCCCCTGGGCTGTGGCGGCTGCCGGAGGTTCCTCTGTCCCGCGGTGGGTGGCTGGGGCGAAGGAGCCCCGTTTCCCGGCGGCCGGGATTGAGGGGTCTGCGCTTTGTCGTCCTCAGGCTCCTGAGGGTGTGGGACGCACCGGGGAAAGGCTGACGGCGGCACCGGCGGGCCCGAGGCGGCCCGGGCGGGCGGAGGCGTGCCCGGCGCTAGGACCCAGGAGGACGCGCGGCAGCTCTGCGGGCCGGATTACAAATTCGCCGTGACTCAGTTTGCTGGGCGCGGAGCACAGCGGGAGCAGGTCAGTGTCGTACGCCCGTGCGGCCTCAGAGGGGTGGGCCAGGCGGCTGGCGGCGTGCGCGCTGCAGGGCTGAGAGCTAGAGCGGGCCGGGCGGCTCAGCGACCCTCCCCTCCTCCGTTCCCTCCCTCCTTCGGGCCTGCCTGCCTGCTTTTCCGCCCGCCTCCTCGGCCTGGGCCTTGCCGCACCGCTAACCGCGGCCGCCTGTTGTCTGTTTTCTAGCTAGCCAAGATGGAGTACGAGTGGAAGCCTGACGAGCAGGGGCTCCAGCAGATCCTGCAGCTGCTCAAGGAGTCCCAGTCCCCGGACACCACCACGCAGAGAGCAGTGCAACAAGTATCCTTGTCCGGAGCGCGGGAGGAGCGGGGCAGCGGGGACCCTAGCGGGTGGTGGGGAGGCCCAGGGCGGCGAGTGCGGCCTACGCGGCGGCGGGCCGACACTGCGGCAGGCGACGGCGGCCGGGCATCCCCTGCCCTGCCTGGGGAGCCGCCACAGCGCGGTGGGCCGAACCGCAGCCAGAGCGGGAGGCCGTGGCGCGGCGTTTAAACCGCTGGGTGGCTGTGGGCCGCGGGGTAGCCCTAACCCAGCAAGGCCCGGGCACCTGTTGCGAGCCTGGAGCCAAGGGGCGGGTTTGGGTTTTTTTTTTGTGGGGGTGTTTGAGGTTTGGTTTTGTTTTTTTTGCCCCCCACCCCTTTTTTTTTCTTTTTTTGGTGGTGGGAGGTGATATTTTTTTTTTTCATTTGTTTTTAAGCCCAGTCTCTGGCGCGGCCCCGCCGGTGTCAACCGCTTTCCCGGGTTCTCCCACGCTGGGCCGCCGCCAGCGCCCAGCCCCCAGTCGCGGCCGAGCAGGAGTGCGGCCCTCGCCTTGGCGGATCCCACCAAGCGGCCGGGGGTGCCCCGCAGCCCCCGGGCTGAGCAGGCGGCGCGGCAAAGCCGGGGCCTCCCGAGGTAATTCGGCGCTGGGATTCGAGGCGAAAGCCGCGGCTGGTGGGGGAGCTCTGCCGGCGGAACCGCTGCCTGCGCGCTTTCTTTGGCCTGCTGGCTCTGACACGGCGCGTTTCGCTACGTCGTATGTTTCGGCATGCCTAGAAGCCGGAGCCTGAAATACTGCTCATTACACTCGTTAAAGCTAACGGGACCTTTTGCTGCTTTGCTGTACGTTTGATGTTGACATTGTGGATTGTTGGGGTTTTACTCCCCTACGTCTCTCTTGGTTGTGGAAGTGATGAAGTAGCAAGGGTTTAGGGAAAAATATTGAGATAGTAGAATTTTAAATTAAGACTAATTGAAATATAGGTATTGAAAAATAAAGCCGTCATCTACTATTCCCTGCTTCTTGAGCTAGCCGTGTAATTAGAAGTCCTGAAATTCTTTGAAGAATATGAGTTTATCATCTTGATCCTATTTTTTTTTAAAGACACTTGCTTGAAGGTCTCCAGAAAGCAGCAGAATTTATTTAAGTAGGTAAGAACGTGTACATGTGTGTATATGTATATTTACATTATTTTAAGAGCTTAGCTTAAAGCCAAGTTTGTTTCACTTGTAGGCTTTCATAACAGATGTGGTCAAGCTTAGGAAGGCTCCTGCTCTTACCTAGAAGGTGACAGTAGTATTCATCTCAGTCATCTTGTTCTTGCAGCTCTTTCAGATTTTTAAGATATTATTGCTTTCTTTGAAAAATCAGAAGTGTCTGAGTGTTCTGATAATGCCCCAAACTTATACTGGTGCTTTTTGGTATTTAAAATATGTAAGTTTTTACAGCAACAGTGTTTATAGTGTAGCTTTACTGTGAAATTACATTTTAAAGCTCTGCTTCAAATAATTTAATAGCATGTAGTTTGCTTATTGAAAAGTAGCAGTGCAAGTGCAGGAAGGGCAATATGGGTGATGGTGTATGTCTTGAAGATGAGTAAAAGTCAACTGAACAAAAGTGCTCTTAACTAATATTTGAAATTCTTTTTAAATGGTAAACTCCCTGCTGTGCTGAGATACCTGCGCTTTCAAGGAGGTTTTCATATGTTGGTCTGTAAAGGGTAGAGAAGTGGCACATTTTTACTGTTGTATTATACATGAGTTTGAGAAGGTGGTTTACTAGAATTTGACAGATAATATTCTACAATTAAAAAAAATATGTATATGTCCTTTGAGATTGCTTCCCTAAAAAGAAAAAAAAAATCTGATGGCTGTTGTATTGTAGAGTGCTACCTTGTAACATTCCAAAGCAGGGTGGTGGTTAATGGTTTTGGACTTAAAATATTTGAAGTCTCTTTTTTTTTTTTTTTTTTTTTGGTAAGATTACCAGTGTGTTGATTCTGTCACGCTCTTTCTTTATGACAGGTTTATTTTTAACAAAGTTATGAATTAGTAAGGCTTCAGATATTTTTCAAATGAAGATATTGGATGTTTATTGGAGTAAAAAAAATCAGTGAAGAAGTTGTTAAGAAAATATGGCCAATAAACCGTTTTTTGATTCCCAGACCAAGTAAATGTTTTCTTACTAGGTTTCAGCTAAATACTGCTGTTTCAGTTCTTCTCACTTCTGCTGCTGCTTCTTACTTCATCCATTGGAATTCACAGTTGTTAGTAATGTTTGGCTGACTGTTTTGGTGATTATGTCTCTGAAGCTTGGAGAAGACGAAAAATGTTTTAAAATGTGCTGCCTTACTTCCTGGCTGTTGCTGAAGGAGCTCTTGGGCTTGGCATCTTTGACAAGAATCTCTGCATGTGTGTTTTTTCATTTCTAGGAGCCATGTGGAGTGTTCTGTATTACTTTTCCTGACCATTATTGTTAATTGCCCCGACCAGCCTCTTCTTTACATTTCATCTTTTGTGTGTTTCACAGCAAAGGAGCTTGTTGCTCTGATAAGCACTCTTTACTCTTACTAAGTAGAAAAAGGGCAGGCTTCTCCAGCAAAGTTAGTACTTGATCCAGACAGCCCAAATATCCAAAATCAAGTTTCGGTAAGCTTGTGATTGGGGCACTGATTGTTGGCCATGGGAGGAAGCAGATCTTCTATAACTGGAAGGGATTTACTGGGCCATCAGGTCCTAGCATACATGTACTTGGCTAAGGCTTAGCTACTTTGAATGTTTAGAGATTTAGCTAAACAGCATGTTAAATGCCAAGGGAGCAAATAATCTTACTTCTTTTTTTTTTGATTGTTTGCCATACTGATTATATGTAATGTGTTTAATAACTCAAAAGTAACACTGTACTGACTTAAAATGTTGCTGTTGAATACCTGTTAGTACCAGGGTGTGAGAACAGGATACAAGAAGAATGCCAGATCAGTGCTCTAGCCAACCAGTGGTAAAATATTGGGAAATTTGGTGCCAAAACTTATGACAATTTTGGGAGAAACAACTACCTACTTTCACAGATGTTCAAAGACATAATTAATTTCTTCCTGCAGTTAAGGAGATTTTTGTCAATTTAGGCTTTTTGGGTTGGTGGGGTTTTTGTTGGTTTTTGTTTGGTTGGTTTTTTTTTAAGGAGACTGCGGATAAGCATGAATTTCTTGGTACAACTGTCTGTGCGTTTACGATTAAACAGGTTCCCATTGCTGAAAGCTCAGGCTGTGACTAGTTAGCATTGTAAAGAAACATATGTCTAATTTTAAAATTAGTAGCTTATCAAATTCATAGTTGTTGCATTTTAATACTGAAATGCTTTTATTTATTGTGGAGGGGAAAAAATGTATTACAGGATTGTGTCTCAGTGTATTCCATAGATTTTAAGTCTGAATACTGAAATCCAAAATTGTAGGGAGGAAGCTTCTTTTGGTGGCTTTACAAATATTTTTAAGGGTCTGTTGTTTTCTGTGTCTGTCCCTTGATTTTATTTTATTTTCAGATTTCATAATGAAAGCAATTGCTTAATGAAGAAAATTACGGAAACTTTTTAGATGGTTCATAGTTCGTGTATTGTGAGCTTATATTCACTGCTGGTTGAAGCAATGCATCAATGTATAACTGATCTAGTCTTTGTATCCATAAAGCTGTAAATGCTGTGCACGAAGATTCAACTTTCCTTAACACTTTCTCTCTTCAGAAACTAGAACAACTCAATCAGTATCCAGATTTCAACAACTACCTGATTTTTGTTCTTACTAAGTTGAAGTCTGAAGGTAAGTTCTTGAGATACTGTTTTATTCTCCCCCACCCCCCAACCCCCATTTTTTTTTAATAATTTATTTTGTTTAGCTTGAAAGAAATAGGAAGCTGATGCCTATAGCTTGAAAGAAACAGGAAGCTGGTTGGTTGAGCTCCATCGTCAGTAGGACTCATTTATCCTCTGGAAGTCTTTGTTGAAAAAAAATCTGGTGACATAATGGTGCTTGTAGTTTCAACCTTGGAATAGTTTCTATTGTAAATGTCCTATGAAATCTTCCCAGAAATGTTGGAGCATCATACCTCTTATCAGACTGCAGTGAAATTGTGGAATAGTTTTCATGAATCATGACTATACACATTATAAAACATTCTGCTAAATTCAGTTATGATAATGATCTCCTTATTAATGAGACTGTTATATATTTTGGAGATCACATTCTAGAGTTGTCTGAAGATGATGTCTCTCAGAGTCTTCATTCTGAAGTCTTCATTTTAATAAAATACAGTTAGAAATCAGCTGGCTACTTACTGTTGTCCTGTTCTTATGGATGTTAGTCCAAACTGCATACGGCATACAGTGTAGCCTCTACTAGTTGGTAAATCCCGGCAATTCCTTAGCAGTGATCATGAAAGTATGAAGGATTTTTTCCAGTGTACTACAGGTACTTTTTGAGGTCTATGATAGTGAAAAAATCCTGTTGTCAGGATTTGGGAGGAAGGAAGAAAGAGGTGGAAGAAAGTATGATTTCATATTTAAAGGCTGAAGTATAACCCAGTGTTTCTGTATATTCTATCATAGAATAGGATACATAGGAAGTCTTCTGATCATCTATTAAGGCATTGGGGGAAATTTAAGAGAGACAGGTTTCAAGACCTGAATCAGGATGTTAAATTTTTGAGCAAGGTGCCGGTGTAGATACACCATATGCCTTACACCATTAACAGAAAAACGAAAAGCAGAATGAGTTGATTAGTGGGATCTGGAGCCTGTACAAAGGATGTGATGAGAAGTGTGTTCCACTTCCCCTCCCCACAAAAAAAGAAATTGTTTTTAATTCTGCTTTAGATGCTAATTTCCCCTTCTCCATTCTATTCGCTACTTAAGCTTAGGGTTCTACACGCTGATGTTTTTAGTGATGTGTCAGAATCTCTCTTCCAAACAGATCTCCTTAGATTATCCAGTAGTCTTTACCCATCTTAATGTTTAGACACATCAATAGTTTGAAATTGAATGAAGACTAGGAGATGTTAACTATTATAAAATGGTTCTATAAAGTTGTTTTATCTTAGGGAAAAAAAAAAGTGATCTGACAGGTTGAAGGGACAAGCAAGCATGGGACAAGTAGAAAATTAACTTCTAAGAGGAGGTGTTTGGCATTCAATCGCACTGATACTTCTCACAGGTACAACAGGTTTCTTGTGAGACTGCTGAGAAGCAGCTGTTGCTTCAGAAATGCTCTTTTTCTGCATCAGTGACAAAATAATAATTTTTTATCCAAAGAAACTGTATTTTAACACTCTATTTCTAGTTCAGGAAATTTGCACAATATTGAGAGTGCTGTAAGTTAATCCGGTGTTGGTACTTTTCATAGTATTTGCCAAGTTTAAATATCCTGTTACCTTGCTTGGGTAAGACTAATGAGAGATGATGGAAGATCTGTTGGTTGGATTTGCTTTGAATCCAGCCAATAGCCATCTGTAGTCCTTCATTATACCTGCCTAAGCAAGGTAAAGTGACCATTGGAACTGCTGTTTAATAGCTCTTTTGTGCCAGTAGGGGAAAATGTCATGGACTCATCAGGTTGATAACAGTCTTCAGTACATCTGGGAAAGTATTCCTTCCTTTCCCCTCCTGAAGAGGGTTCTTTTAGTGGCCTACAGCTTTGCCAAGTTTAATATTTTATTTTATTTTATTTTAGGGAAAAAAATAGTGTGCTTTACACCACACACCATAGCATAGATATTTATACTGTGTAAAGTTCATGCTTTTATTATGGCCATACCATCCCTGCAGAAGGAGCCATGAAAATCAGCTTCCAACACAGATGTCAGCTTATTCAATAAAATTTAAGGTGTTTTCATAGTGCATGATAAAAGGAGCTTGGTTTCATAGCAGATGGGACTAACCTTTCATTCAGATTTTGCCACTGCTGAAACCACTGCTGAGAAAACTGCTTAAGGATACGTTTAGGTGACAGCTCCTGAATGTGGAAATTCTGTAATGATTAAAATGGGTGTTAAATAGCCTCATTTTACTGCAGCAGATTTTGTACCAAATGATCTTTGGCCTTAGTTTTTTGTCTCTGTTGGCAAATAACTTTGCAAGCAAAATTTTATTTGCAAGGAAATGACTTTGCTTGCAAAGCTGACTGTTTCATTGAGGCCTGCCTTTAAGATACTTAGGTAAATCTTACGTATAGGAAACATGCATTGGGTTAGTACCAGACATACTGCTACTTTTCAGTTGCAAAAAGTGTTTTAAGTTCTTTTTCTCACCAGTGTTAGCTGATCAGGCTTCTGTGCTTGTGACTTCTTGGTTCTAGGTCTATTGTGGTACTACTGCGTATATGTAGTGGGTTTGTTGGTTTTGTTCTTAAATTCCATGGGCTCTATTCATCAGTCCAAGCTTGTTCAGCTTTGGTCTTCCTGGAAGCACATATTGCCCTGCTACCATTTGATAAGTGAAAATGTATGGCCTGGCTTGCAGCTTTGGTATACGTATGCCTTACCTTTAAGCACTTTCTTTTTCCTTTTTCTTTTAACTAGTACACATTTTTAAAGATAGCATTGTGAATCTGGACAAACCCTAATGTTACAAATATCACAGAATATAAAAAAAGTTGAGGAAATGGCATTCAGTCCTGGAAGTCAGACAATAGGCAGGCTGGTGGAGTAAAATACAATCCCAAACATTAAAGATTTTGGTGTAAGTCTGCAGAATGTACTTCTTGTAAGTCTGTAGAATATACTTCTTGGAAGCATGATGTTCAGATCTTCCTTGGGTGAGGTGGAGTCCAGATTAACTAAAATGTATCTGAATGAAGAAAGCTTGGGTTTACTAAATTATCTGCAACTGAAAATACTACTCAGATGCTCTGTTAGTATAGCTATTCTTGGTTTCACAGGTGTAAAACCTCTCAGGTAATGTAGTGGCACTGCCCTGCCTTAGTGTTGTGCCTTTTTGCTGTTGTTTTGGGGTTTTTTTGGTTTCTTTTTTGGTTTGGGCTTTTTGTTTTGTTTTTCCCCTGGTGTCCCATGAGCTAAGCTCAGAATCCTGTAGGCTCCTGTATTCTGTTAATGAGCTGTTTTCTGGAGTGTGTGCATGTTGCTGCTTCTCAGATAACTTTCTTTTATGTGTGCCTGATTGATATAATCCAGTGCTTCAAGGAAATATCAGCTTTGCCTCTGTTGCTGCTTGCTTACCCGCAGCTTCCCTTCTTTGTTCCAAACGATGCGTCTGAATCTTCCTTGTCCCCATTTTTGCTTCTGTAGTCCAAGTCTATTCCCTTGAAGGAAAAGATGAGAAAGTGCTGTCTTAATTTCAGCTTGCTTGCTGTCTTGCCAAGGCCAGTTCTAGCCTCTAGTTAAGGTAATTGATGCAGTTGTCCAAGACATCTGAAGCCTGAGGCAGGTCAGAGGAAGGACATCTAAGTGTCATAATACCAGACAATTCATGTTGTAAGCAGAAATTTGGAGTTTGTTTCAGGCCTTGTTGCTCATAATGATGTACTTCCCAAAGCTGTGCATCAAAACCTTGGTTTGTTTATACCTTCTGCAAGTGACTGATCATGATACGCCGCAACCCCCCAGACTAAAATAGACTGACCAAAAAAAGCATCTTTCTTAAATCATCTGTCTTGTCCTTTTGTAGGACAACTTTGTCAATTCCCTGGTGTTTTCTTATTGTTTGTAACCTGGAATTACATTATTATACTGTACCTCACACAGCATTCTGAATTTTGTGAAGGAGAGGTGCATCTGGCTTCCACTGAGTTATCAAAAGATGTCCATTGCTATTCACCAGGAACACTCTAATCTTCATAAATTCAGTTTGTTGGTTAGGGAGCATTGGGTATGATGACTGTCACAATCCTGCTGTAATATTTTGTTGATGCAAGGTTGTATGAGCATACTGTGTCATGAGGGGTCCTACTTGCATGAGCAAAGTCTACTGCATTACCTTTTGGTAACACTTCTCTGCAAGAAGAAACTAAATTGAGACTTTGTAATTGCTGCAGACCATTCCTGCTATGTTTCTGTATGTATCCATTCTTTGTTATCTTCACACCTCAGTGCAAACTCGGAAGTGGTCTTTATATGTCAAGACTTAATGTGGCATTCTGCTTGGCATAATAAGCCTTCATGTTGGTGGATGTTTTCTATGAAAAAATTTGCAAGAACAGAAGTGGTGTTAAAGCTGACCACTTCTGAGGTAGGGTTTGGCATACCTAATGAATCTGTGTGGTGGAAAAAGAATGGAACTACTGATATAATATCTATTCTAGTTAAGATTCACTCTCATCCTTATTCCCAAAATGCACATTTCCATTCTCAGACCTACCTTTTATCCTTCTTAGACAACAGAGGACATGGTTAGCTTGTGCATTGTTTCTGCTCCCGGGGGGATGGGGGGGAGAATTGAAAGAATTCCACCTGCTGACCCACTGCACCAGCTACTAAGAAGGAGGAAAATGACTGCTACTGCTGAACACAGGACCCTATCCACACCTTATTCCATACCATTCACATCATGTTCAGGTCTCACATTTTTCAATATACTCGTCTTATATATATATATTTTTTTTTTTAATATATCCACCCACATATATATATATGTACATCCACCCACACACAAAGAGAGAGGTGTCATTCCTTAGTGCATGGACCAATCTCTGTAAAGCTGCTGAGTTCATCCGATCCGTTATGTTGGGCTTCATCTCTTGTAACAGTTTTTCAGAGCAGGAGAGACAGTGTGCACTGTTGGACTGTTGCCTGTTGATGACACCACAGAACT